AAAAAAAAGTTTTAAAATTATAAATATATATATATATATAATATATTATATAAATAATTATATATTTTTTAATACAAAAATAAAATAATTAAATTATTTTTATTTTTATATTTACTAATTATTTATCAGATTTTTTTTATTTTAAAAATAACACTTAATTAATGACATTATTTTATGTAACCACATATTATATATATATATATATTTTACTAAAATAATTATTGAAATAATAGTGATTAATAATTATTTATAATTTATCTTATATAATAAAAATTAAATTAAATATTTTTTGTTATATAATTCCTATTAATATGTAAAATAGAAAAAAATTAATAATAAAAAAAAGGAAATCAATATAATTTTCTATTTTTAAAATGATAATAAAATAATAAATTATAAATTTTATTTACTAAATATTATTTAAATTATATATAATTTACATATTAAATTCTTTATTAAATATATTTAATATTTATTATATGAAATTCTATATAATTAAAATAAATAATATAACAAATAAATTTTAATAAAATGTATTAAACAAAAAACATTTTAAAAATATCTGCAAAGTTAATTTTAATATTTTTAGAAATATTTACCTGTAAAGAAAAATTAATTGAATCCCAATTTACTGATTTTTAAATTAATTTAGAAAAAAGTTTATGGAACGAAAATAAATCGTTTCAATGTACTTCAAATGTAGTTTTATAATTAGTTAATATTTTCGGTATATTTAATTATAAAACTCCTGAAGTTAAAAGATAATATGATATTTTACCTCCCTTTTGGAGTTTATTATTTAGATTCGATATAATAATTGTTGATTTACCTAATTATCATTAACCAATAGAAATTTTGGTAAACGGCGAAAAAGTTGGGCATATTGTAAAAGACAACATTCGTAATTAATATTTAGATAGAGTATGTTCTTAAGTTTTATAAGAATAAGATTAATTATTCCATTTTCAAGCTAATGTAACAAGTTAAATATAAAATCCTATATTGACAATAAGAAATGATATATTTACAGAATAAGCTGATTAAGGATTTGGCCTTAAAAATTTTTAATTTTACATTGATGAATGTGATATTTCATGTTAAACTTGCGTTGGTCCAACAAGAAATTAATGTGAATTATGTCCTGAAGAAGCTGATAAAGATGAATAAAGTATATGCAGATGTTAAGGATTATATAAATATTTTTAAGATCATTAATGTGTAGAATAATGTAAAGATGGATATTACGTTAAAGATGATTATTGCCTGCCTAAATCTATCAAGAATTGCGGCATTATAAGTAATATATTAACTAATGTGTGTGTTAGTTGTGATGATGGTTATTTTCTTTTAAATGGAGAATGCTTTTTTAAATAATGTCCTTTTAATTCTGTATTAAAAGAAGGAACTATAAATTAATGTACAGATAAAATCGAGAATTTTAAAAATGGAAGTTATTTAATGAAAGGTTTATTTTCAAATGAATTTGGAATGGGAGAAATTGAATCAATGGGATTGACTTTAAATAATTTTATAAATAATGTATATTTTTCCAAATGCGGAGAATACTAAGTTTTAGGCGGTTTCAATATAGCAACAACCAATTCAAAAGTTTTAAAATCATTTAAAGACTTAAAACCTCATCATTAAATAATAATTGGTTTAGTATATTTCTAAATAGATAATTGGAGAGAAGAATATTTTACAATAGAAGTTGATAAATAACTTTTTAAAGGGGAAATATTTGATTTTTAATCATCGGGAACTAATGTTTGTGGTTTATATTATTTCGACTCTATGAAGTAATATTAAATAGAAGTAAAACATAGTGAACCTACTTTAGACATTGTACTCTCAACAAACTTAAACCTAGATTATGGGGAGTATTTTGGAATAAGGGAGCTTTTTGTTATCATAGATTATTGTGATAAAAATTGCGCTAAGTGTAATGATACTATGTGTGATTATTGTGAAGAAGGGTTCACTTTTAAAGAAGGAACCAACACATGCGTATGTGTAAAAGGATTTTTTTATGAGAATAATTAATGCAATAAATGCCAAGAAACGTGTGGAGAGTGTGAAAATGGAAGCGAATGTATTAATTGTAAAAGTGATTATGTATTATATTAAAAAAGTTGTTTGAAAGAATGCCCAAAAGGGTATGAGAATGAAAATGGAATTTGTGTAGATTGTGAAGATTATAAGTGTAAAAGATGCTTAACGCAAAGAAATGCTAAATAACCTTGTTAAAAATGTAAGAATATAATTACTATTTTATCAAATAAATGTACTTATTTTAAATGATATATTTTAAATTAAAATATGATATACTTATTAAATAATTTTTTATATATAATAGAATTTTAAATTAATAATAAAATATAAATAATACAATAATTATAAAATTTATCTTGTTTTTAATTATAAAAAATAAAAATATTTATAAAATAATATAATTATAATATATTTTCTAAATATAAATAAAAAATATAAATAGTAAATAAATAATAATAATTATAATTTACATATTTTTTTAAATAATATATAAATTTTTTATATTATTATTTTATAAATTTATAATTTTAATATAAAAAAACTTTATATTATATATTATATATAAACTAAAAAAAATAAAAGGACAATTATTCTATTACAGTTAGATAATTATAAAGCCTATTCTAGTTAGTTAGATAAACCACAAATACTTTTCCAGTTTTAATTATAATAAATATAGCTCTGATTAGAAATATATTAAATAACAAATTTATGTATATATAAAATTGATTAAAAAAAGAGTTAGAGACTTAATTTAGAAAAAATAAAATAAGGTTAATATTTTTTATAAATTTATAATATTTATATTGAAATATTTATTATAATTTAATTTTAAAATTTCTTTAATTGAAAAAAACTATTTAATAAATAAAATTATTAGTTTATGCATTAAAACCAAATAATTAAACATGCAAAAAAAAAATTATATATATATATATATATATAAATAATATAATAATATATTTTATGAATTAAAATGTAAATATATAGGAATAAAAAGTTTAGTACTAGATGAAGAAACAGTCTAAATAATAAGTTTAGTATATTTTCAAACCAGTATATTAAAAAAGAAGTATATTGAATAAAACGTATTGGCCAACCTTCTTTAGGCAAAATATAACATTTAAAAGTTATTATTTCATCCTCCATTCCACTGAATAAAATCAATAAAAAATTCTATAAGAACTAAAGTAATCTCGTTTTGCAGAATATTATATATATTTTCAAATTAAGCTTGAAATTTATTTATTGAAACCATAGCCTAAAGCCAAGACAATTCAGATTTAATAAAACAAATTCATGAAATTTACATAGATTATTATATTTTACTTCACATTTATATTCTCTAATTGTGACTTCTTCCTACGGACTTACTAAATAAAGACATTTATTGAATTAAACAGACAATTAAGTCATCTAACGAGTATATGAAAAACTTCTTTCGGTACTTTTAAGTTTAAAAAAAGTCCCTATGATAAAATATTTATCAAGTTCAGATACTTATTTAAAATTAGCGTCTAAATTAACAAAAATTAAAAGAAGAAAAATAATATAAAAATATGTATTAATAGAGATAATATATTATAAGTAAATTAAAAAAATATAAAAAATTAAATATATATATATATATATATATATATATATATATTATATAAGTATTATATTATATAATTTTATTTAATTTAATTATAATATATAAAATTATTATTAGAATTATATTAAACATTAAAATATATATTATTATTTATTATTATATAAATTTTTAGAATTCTTTTTAATTATTAATATATAAACAAGTAATAGAGATAATTAAAAAAAATGGAACATATACTAAATTTTAATTAATAAATAAAATATTATTATAAAAATATTAATTGATCTATTTTTATTATTATAGAATTTTCTTAAAATTTATTTTTTATATATACATTATATTTTTATAATAATTATATAAATTAATATATTATAAAATATAATATATATTTTTTTATATATTACATATTTTTAATATAAATTATTTAATATAACTAATTATTTTTTATAATTTACTTTCTATATTTTTTTTAATTAATTTTCTAAAAATATTAATCTCATAATTATTATTAAAACAAAAATATAATATTACCATTAAAATCTTAAATAAAAATTTAATATATAAATTTTAAATAATTTTAAAATAATTAATTGAGATTATTATTTTTTATATTTTTATACATTAACTATTTATTACTGATTATATTTTAATAATTATTTGATTTTTAAAAATTATAAGTGAGCCATAAATCTTTATATCGCTAATCAATCAATCAATCAATTTTATTTCAAAATAAATATATATTTTATTATATATATATATATATATATATATATTTATTTATTTATTTTTAATTTTATTTTTTTAT